AAGGCACGAACAGATTAAGTGACTTTCCTAAGGTTACAAAAGGAAGTCTGTGACAGAGCTGGGACTTGAACCCACATCTCCCAACTGCTGATTTTCTCCAGTGTGCAGATTGTCCTTGGCTGTGAGTACAGCTACAACCTGCCCAATGTTCCTCCAAGTAGGGCACTGGAAGAATGTGACTTGCTGCTTCTTTTTTAAGGAGCCTTTTCATAGTTGTTACTTATCCAGCCCTCTAAATGTACAGTGCTATGGAAGGGGTTACACATGCCATAATTCATAGCCTTATGTGCAGTGGTTACAGTTTGGATCCCAGTAGTAAATGCCCAATAGATGTTGACAGTCTTGTAATGTCTGTCCTTTTTCTTCCCTGTCCTGTGTTGTATCCTCCCCTTTCCTCATGGCAGGTCTGTGTTCTGGGCCTGCATCTGGCAAAGGAACTCTGTGAAATAGATGAAGATGGAGATTACTGGCTGCAAGTTACTAGAAAGGTCCCTGTACTTCCCACTACTTTCACAGCCTTGGAAATCAGCCTGAGAGTCAAGCAGAACCTTCATTTCACGGAGGCCTCATTGCATCTACTCTTTACCTTAGCCAAGACACAACAGGTGAGAAATGCAAATGGAAGAGAACTTGTTGCTCTGCTCTTAGGCCTATATTTCAAATGGAGTTGTTCTCATTCCATTGTATGCTGGCACCATCAACCTATAAAAAGCTCTAATACAACTCTGTCAAAGGGGAGGAATTACAGGGGCCTCTTAAGTTTTTCCATTCCTGAGTAATGGTTTGTCTAAGATAGAGGAACAGAACTGATTTTGTCCTCGAGAAAACCTGTAATTCAGATCAAGACACTTCTCTGTAAATACCTCTCTGCTACAACAGCACTGGAGCATAGGCATCTAGTCACTTTGCAGCCTTGATAATACATTACTTATTTGTTGAAGTTCATTGTTGTCCAAGATGAGGAATAGAGATAATTTTTCCAAGGTTGTTTTAGTTGAACATAATGTCGGTGGTGATGCATAATGCAGTCCTGTGGATCTTTTTATGAAAACTAGTACTATCTAGGGGAGAGAAGAATTCAGGTTAGATGGGTGTGAGTTTAGAGGGGTCTGGTACCTCCTCTGACAGTGGTGGTTCTGTGTTGCAGGGAGCTGCAGCTGTGGCTGGAGCAGGTGTCACGCAGAGTGTCTGCCTGCCCCTCCTGAGTGTATATCAGCTTAGCAGTAATGGAACAATTCAGGTGAGTGTTGTCTGTTTTTGCTTTTCAAACTCATAGGGAAGTTCACTGGGAAGACCTGAATGCCTTCTTCAGTCTAGGGCTGGCAGAACAGTCACCAGGACTTAGAAGGTGAACACCATCACCCCAGACTTAGGGATTTCTCATGCTGTTGTGAAAAGAGTGTGTCATTTTGTGGGAGCAGGAGTATAAGTAAATCTTATTGTTTGTGGCTGGTATATTCAGACGCCTGCCTCATCCCGGAAATCTCTGGATGCTCCCTCTTGGCCTGGGGTCTATCGTCTCTCTATGTCATTGATGGAGCGCCTTCTGAAGACGCTTCGGTACAACTTCCTGACAGAGGCACTGGACTTTGTGGGTGTCCATCAAGAGAGGATTCTCCAAGTATGTTCACCCCTACTTCTTTATGTTGCCACTTACTATGTAAATAACAGCAGCGCCCAGAATACGTTAGGTGCTGGACAGGCTTAGATAAAGACACAATCCCTGCCTCAGAAAGCTTGATCTAAAAACAGATAAAGAGAAAGGGAAACTTATTCCAACATAATCACAGTGGCCAGGCAGGAGATGGATGTATTGTTAGTCTGCTAGATTCTGGCCAGTCAACACACACATTCATTGCTCTTACTCGCCAGGGTATAATTCCACTATAACTGTTTCATGTGTCCACTCAAAACAGCAGCATCAGGAAGTGTTGATTGAGCGCTCAGTCTGTGACCCATCTGCTTGGAAAAAAAGCAGCAGAGTGAGCTCACCGCTAAAAATAGTTCTTAGTCCCTCTGGTAACAAAAATGCTGCAGTCAGGTTTCCATCACGATTCAGGTGGGCAACTCATTTCCCTCAATACTTAAATCCCTGCATCAGCCAAACTGATGCAAATTTGCTGAAAAACCCTATTCTAAGGTAGCAGTTAATTGCATGTGTGTGTAAGCACAGTAGTTGTCTTATTCTGTGGCACCACTACCTGCCAAATGGGTCAGCTGGTTAACTTCTAAGCCATAATAAATCAAGGAGGCTGTGTCATTGCCATTGCTGTTTCCTTATTAAAGTGTACTTACATGGCCCTAAGGATAAATATCTGCACCTTCAGCTTTTTCTAGGAAGGGATGGATATTTTTGTACTGTGGCAGTCATCTCAATTATTCTGTCTCCAGTGCCTGAATGCAGTACGGACTGTGCAGAGCTTGGCCTGTCTGGAAGAAGCTGATCACACTGTTGGCTTCATTCTTCAGCTCTCCAATTTTATGAAAGAGTGGCATTTCCACCTGCCACAGCTCATGAGGGACATGCAGGTAAAGTGACACACTTTGTCGTGCTAGCCAGCAGGTGGCTAACAGAGAGCCCTTTCACTGAAGCTGTTGTTAAGTGGGGCCACCGGAAGAAAATGATTCTTTTAGCATGAAGCCTTTCAGTTGCAGAACAAGGTACAGTTATACGAGAGGGATAGATTTAACCAGGGCTGAGTGGTGGTAACGCTTGGAGGATTGAGTGTCTCAGTGCATCTAGGCTGGAACCTTGGTGTCAGTTGTGTCTGGGAAAACCTGAACTTTCTGCTGATGCCTGATCTCTGGTTGAAGCACCTCTGTCTCTGGGACTGGATTTTCCAACCCCCACCCTAGAAGCCTAGGATATAATAATCACATCGTTTAGGCTTGTCAGGGGATTTGGGAATAGAAAAGTTGGATGTCTCAAAGTTGTACCTGAGAGAGCGGTACTGGTGGATGGATTCAACTTGCCCTCTAAGAATTTTATTTTTCTTGGTTATTTCAGGTGAACTTGTGTTACCTGTGCCAAGCCTGTACTTCCCTTCTGCATAGCCGCAAAATGCTTCAGCACTATCTACAGGTGAGGAGGGGACCCTGCTGACAAGGGGGAGGGGTTACAGTTTTGGGTCCCTCACTTAAAAGCCAATAAAACATTGATCAGTATCTAGTCCTTGTTTCCAGAGATTTAACCATGGATCATCACCAACCCTGGAGTTCAGTAGCCAAAGCTGAGTTGGTTGTACCTCTCTAACCAGGACTTACACACAACAGCTTGAAAACAATGTATACTTTGTAGGCTAGTCACCATTAACATAAGATATCCAATGTAGAAACAGTAATCAGTATTAGCTACTTAAGAGCAAACTGCTGTGCTGGGAAGAAGCCACTGTTGTGGTTAAATGAGAATTGATAGGCCAATGACTTGGTGCTCTTGGCTTGCTTTAAGTGGCAAGAAAACATGGCTCCAGCTCTTCTGGTTTCTCTAGGTAGATTTGAGAGGGAGAGGATGCATTTTTATTGATGTATCTTTACAGCTGAGCTAGGGTTCTTTCTGGCAACAGTTTCATTAGAAACTCCTTTTTTCCCCCAGCGCATGGGAGTTTTAACTAGTGTTTGCAGATTCCATTCCTGCAATACAGACAGGTGTGTTTCTTTCCTGCAAGATAATTGAAGGCCTTAGGCTTCTAGGAAGTTGCTCTATGTTCTCATTGGGCTAAGCAAAGTGTGGGTACCTTGCTACAGCTTTCCTGTTACCAGTAACTTAATCTTCTGCAAAGATTGGTCTTAGTACAGGACACTGAAATGATACCTGTGTGCGTGTGTGTGTTCTCTTCCTCTTTCACAGACAAAAAATGGGGACTCCCTTCCCTCAGGTGTGACACCTCGAGTGCAGCGCACCTCTCAGACCTCCTCCAGGCATCCAAACCCTGAATCAGAGGCTGCAGAGCAGAAGGCCCTGCGCACAGTGCAGTACAGTCTCCTGAAAATCCTTAGCAAATCCCTGGCTGCCCTGCGCCACTTCACTCCTGACCTCTGCCAGATCCTCCTTGATCAGGTACCAGGGATAGGGGAGAGACAGATATCTGCAGGGCAAGGAGCTAAGAGCATCCTGAATTATGTTCTGGATTTCATGAGTTTGTTCCAAAGAAAATGATAGCCCACTTCTGAATGTATCAGCTGTTCTTTAAAAGGCAGTGCTCAAAACAGGTAGCCTTTGGAATTGGTCACAGATCAGTCTGAAAGGAAGTCTTACTATTTAACCTACTGACTTATGTAGGGTTTGAGATGTGGAACTACAATTGTTTCTGTAGCTTTCACTTGGACTGTCCTCCACAATCATATGTATACATACCCTTATTTACCAGAGCAAACTGATAGTCCAGCTAGTCTTAGATCCAATTACCGCTGACTGTGCAGCATGTGAAGGCAGCCTTCTTACCACCGATTTGTTGAGGTGGTGTGGATTTGTTGCGTCTGCAGTGGATGGTCAGTGGACTAGATAGGACTCAGAAGACTGGGTTTTATCCTTGTTTCTGCCCCTGGATGCTAGCTGACCTCAGATTTAGTTTCTCCCTCTAACCTTGAAATAATATGATAGGCAGTCCCTTGTAAAGCACTTTGAGATCTGCAGGTTGTGAGAGCACTGTATAGGAGCTAGGGGTTGTTACTGCTGCAATACCACAGTCATAGCCTTTGAATGACTTCAGTCCCTCTCTCCCTGCAGTCACTGGACCTTGCTGAGTACAATGTGCTCTTTGTTCTGAGTTTCACCACACCAGCCTTTGATTCAGATGTCGCTCCCTCCTTTGGGACCCTCCTGGCCACAGTCAACGTGGCTCTTAACATGCTGGGAGAGGTATGAGTCTGTGTTCTTAGTTCTTTAAGGGCCCATGAGGCTGTGCAGTAGCTGCAGTGTTCTCTGGGCACCTATTAAGCTGCCCTTTTAAGGGAGAATGGGGACTTCCTCCTGTAAGTCTGTTCTCTCCTTGTGGAACTCCAGTCTTTAATAATTTTTTCCCCCCTAAAGCTGGATAAGAAGAAGGAGCCCTTCCCTCAAGCTGTAGGGCTGAATACGCAAGAAGGGACCAAAACTCTTAAGTAAGTCTCTCGGTTTTTTAGTTAGACATGGTTGTGGAGCAGAGGCTTAGGGGTCCTCATCTCACCCAAACTGGGAGCTATAGGGCTGAGTTAACTTCTCTCCACATTTGTTTCCGTTTCTCATCTCGTGTCAAGCAAGCAGTTCACCAGCCCCTACCAAAGTGCTTAAAAGCAGGCAGGGCTCATGGTAGGTTAGTGTGCAAAATTGGCCCGTAGCGCTCCCAGCCATTGGTGGGTATAAGGGAAGAGATGGCTAGATGGATCTAACTTAGCTGAATATAATACCTGTACCTGAGTAAAATGAACATTTTCCCTGTTCTGCATTGTATGCACCCAGGTGCTCCTGAGGGTTAATGGTCTTCCAGTGGTAGCACTTGTGCTGACTTGTCGTCTTTGCACAGGTCCCTGCTCATGTTTACAATGGAAAACTGTTTCTACCTGCTCATCTCCCAGGCTGTTCGGTATTTGAAGGATCCAGCTGTGCATCCACGAGACAAGCAGCGAATGAAGCAGGAGCTCAGTTCGGAGCTGGTAAGCTGCGGGGGGAGAGCTGATTTTTTTTTTTTTTTTTTTTTTTTCTTCCTCTGATGCTGTGTTTAGCTTCCTTAAGCCTTTTAGTTTATGTGGAGTGGTCCATTCTGAGACTCAGCTGGTGTACCTCCCTGCAGGCCAGCTGGCAGGTCTAATGGAGATTCTGCACTTGTAGCAAAAGTATCCAGACCTTGCTATAGCAGTTAAGGCTTCTCCATAAGCTTGTGTGTGTAATGATCAGAATGCTTTGGAGGTTTCATGTACAAAAACTTCTTACAACTGGCCTGCAGGTGTATGTGGCTAAAGCCTGGGGCTTGGCTACCAGATATGTTCTAGGGCAGACCAAGACACGGAATTGCTTTGAGCTGGAGCACATTGCGTAAATGGAGTTTTACTGAGCTGTGGATAAAAGAATAATGTTGACCTGGCTTACCTTGTGTGAATGTGGCAATGGAAGACACTGTTAGAAGGGGATAATATTGTGATATTGTGGTATTGTACCTGTTTCCATCTTGCTTGGCCCGTCTGCCTCTAAATGATCCAGTGAAAATGGTACCTATGGTCAGGTGACATCTAGTTTGTGTGTGGAGTAAACAGCCTCAGGCACCCCTATGCCACTCACGCATCAGAATGCCCCTGGGGTCCTGCCCTTTGCCTCAGGTGTCTTGCATGGGAAGGGGGGGGCAGATATGTACATTGGCGAAGCTAACTCTTGGCGAATGTCTCATTTCAGAGTACGCTGCTCTCCAGCCTGTCTCGTTACTTCCGCCGTGGTGGTCCTTCTTCTCCTGCCAGCGGGGTCCTTCCTTCCCCCCAGGGAAAGTCTGCCTCCAAGTTTGGTTCTGAGGGGCAGGAGCCTTTGATCCAACTGGTTCAAGCCTTTGTCAGACATGTGCAGAGATAGGTTCTGTACTTCCACTGCCTCCCTTTTCAGGATTCACACCAGAACTACACATTTCCACAACAGAAGGTACCACGCTTGGCAGGACTTGTAATAAGGACTGAGGGAGAGCTGGATGATACTCTAAATTGAGCGATAACACCAGCCAGTGAGATCCTATTGAACCTGACTAGTAGAGTGAATGAAAGGTCCAAGAGTGGTGCCCTTTCAAAGGAACTGATCAGGGTGTCCCTACAGACACCCTGCCTGGCTGGGTACAAGTGCTGAGTGCGCAAACCTGTTATTTTAATAGCTTGTACCTCCGCAGGAGCAGCTGGGTGGGGAGAGGAGGCAACTTTTCTATCTTCCTCTGGGCATTAACTCTGCTCTTACTACAAGATGCAATCTTCCTTTCCTCAACAGTGAGGTACAGTCAAGGGATCAGCCAGCAATCTTTCTACTGCTATTTTTGTATTGAACAGTACAAGGCAAGGTGATACGTGTGTGTGTGCTCCCTCCTGTCAGT